GAGAAGAAATTTCTGATCAGACATCTTTGCTGTTTTGGTGATATTGTAGACTGTGATATAAAAAAAACCTTATTTCTTCAAAAAAATGATCAAGTGTTTAAAATTTTTCTGTTCTTGACTGAATATAATTTTATAGTAAAATAATGGTAAAATAATAGAAAACAATTTCTAAAAAAACATTGAAATTTTTTGGTATTTTAAATTTTTCAATTACTTTTTGTTTTTTTTTTTTTAACTTTAAAAATTTAAACTTTTAAAAGCTACTGCAAAATTTAACGTATTTACAGATCGAATTTGTAGAATAATGTTTCTGAGCGCCTTTCTCAAATCAGTTACGGTTGTCACAAGGAATAGTTCTATGCTAGTAAATTAGCTTAAATAACTTTCTTTACTTTCTTTAGTATTTCTCAATTTTGCTCTCTAAAAATAGTGTTTTTAAGCACTAATGCTTTTCAGTTATCCTTTGTTGTGTGCTTATTGAACTAATATGATGACAACACACATTTTTTGAACACTTGAAAATTTCTGAAAAGCAAAAAGCTAGGATAATGTTCTAACTAACACAATAAAGGCACCTCATCAAAAAGAAAAAAAAAGCAAAAATAGGAATTGAACTGAAAGAACAGTTTTGAACCTGTTGTAATCGAATTAGTTTTAAAAATTATCGAACAAAAAATGATAATTGAGTTTATAACTGTTTAATAAGTCAGAGCTGACCAGAAAAATGCATTTTTTTCAAGCCTGATAACCGTGAGTTTTGAAGAAACAAAGAATAGCATTTAGCTACAGCAAAACAGAGGTCTTCAGGTGGTGCGCAGACAGTGCATTTCGAATAACAGTTCACAAAAGCGCAATTTTTTGTAATTACAAAAAAAATCGTTAAACCACTAAACACAACGATTTCTTACTGAGTGCTCCTGTTAACTTATAATTTTACCATTAGCTGTAGACCATTAAGTATGAAATGAAAAATCTGCAACTGTCATATTTTCATGTCTCATAATTATGCATTTTTCAAGAGATAAAACTGTTAACTCTTTCTTTGCTATACAAATAAACTTTTTAAACTTTTTTTATAATTTATTCAATGGCTTTTACCAATTTTTAATCATTGATTTCTTGAAGAAAGATGTGAGAAGTAACTGGCAAAAAAGTACTGCCAAGAAGGTCTGTCTATCTTGCTTCAACTTCTACTTTCACACAAAAAATGATGAAAAAAGAAAAGTTTGAGACATGCCTTTCTTAAAACGAGAAAAAGCAAACTACCAAACTTTTATTAAACCTCTCAAATATCAACTTTTTTCTACTGAAGCTATTTTTTCACAAAAAATTTAACAAAAAATTTCGGAATTTCTGCTCACTCAAAGCAATTCCATCCTTACCGATGACTTTATTGGTTGAATTTTTTTCAGACACCGTTTGCATAAGAAACAGTCTTCGACAACTGTTGCAATGAGAGACTGAGAAAAAATCAAGTCGCCGTTTGTCTCAAATGCAGTGAATGTTTTAAGCACTCCTAAAAAATCCCTTTTTTGCCTGTGATTTCAATAATTGGAAAGAATTGATACTCATACAGTCCAGAACTTCAAAATATGTTTGAAAAGCTGTTGCTGGTGCTGTTTTCTAAAAAAGCTTAAGCGGAAAAACAACTAATATTGATGTATTTTCAAACATTTACATATCAATAAACGTCTTTAAAAACTTTAGAAAATTTAATCTCAAAACAACAACTTAGAATTAAGACACAAAAAAAGCGAAATCTTATTCGTATGCAACAGACCTCGACAATTTAAATAGATAACTCTCTGCAGACATTATAATGTGTCTGCTAGAAAACGATATTAAATAAGCAACATTATGGAATTTTACGAAACAGATGCTCGACAGAACTACGCAACTTAGGACAAGAAACTTAAGAAACTTCAGCTCAAGAAGTAAGAATGTGCTTCTTTTAAATTTTTGCACCTTACAGAAACCTTGCATTATCTAAAGTGTAAAATTTAAACAGGTGAACACAGCTCTCTGCTCTCCATTTCATCTTTGAAAAAATTGTTGAGGCTTTTTAATGGTATAAACCGCAGAAAACTTTTTTTCATATTTATCAATTCAAATCAGAGCTTCAACAACTTCTCATAAGTAGTTGAACTAACACAATAAAGTTTCATAAAAATCTAGTAACCAGCTTACTTTGATCATTGTTTTTTCATCTTATTTTCAAAATATTATTGCTTAAAAACTTTATGAAATTATATTAAACAATAATACACAAAAAGCTTTTTGTCAGAGATCTGGGAAATTTTTACGTGCACAATTTTACAAATATATGGTTAACTGCATCCAAATTCTTTGAAGTTTTACAATCTGTCTGAATATAAAGCTTTTTAAATTGCATCGTTTAAGCAAAAAAAAAAATCTAAAAAAGCATTTTTAACGACAAAGAAAAGAAATTAAATATTATTTTTGAGAAGTTACCAAATATTAAACTGTAACTTTCTCTAATATTAACTGCGAAACTTTTTCTCACACAGTTTTACAAAGATATGTTTAACTGTATATGAGGTGATTCACGTTATTTGAGGAAGGGAGAAGCAAATAGAGAAAAAATTAAAAAAAAAAAGCTATTTTTATTTTTTTTTAGAACCTTGCTGTATAAAGCTTACTTTTTAGTTTATTAAAGTTTCTAGAATAGATTTTCAAAGCATACTTGAATATCCTTTGTCGAGAACTTGTTTTACAAAGATATGTATAACTGTATATGAGGTGATTCACGTTATTTTTTAACTGACATTAAGTAATCGCTTGAAACAGCTTTGATTACTTATGAGTTTTTGTCAAATTATAAAATTTATGTCAAGAAAATGACTATTTATGGCTGCTTGCAAGCTTCCCGAGTAATCACTGTCAGAAGCACTCAGTTAACTTTACTGTCTTTTACAGTAATACATAAGTTAAAAATTTCCAAATAGTTACAATGATCGTTTTTTGAAAAGTAGTTATCGCTGATGATGTAAAGAAAGGTCTGTACTATAACTTAATTTGAAAACCCATAACTGAACTGAACTGTAGACTGTTGCAAGCAAATCAAGTCAAAAATTTAATTAATTATTTATTCTCATCAAAATACAAGTAATAATTTGAATCACTTTATTGAGCAAAAATTTTTTAAATTTTAAGCACAAAAAGTTTATAGAACAGCAAATTTAGCTGTATATTGCGGCCCTTTCAGAATAAGGCGAGAAATGACGTTCACTATAGCGTCGCCATGGCTTTACAACAGAAGTTCTGAAGTTGACGTTGACTGGACTAGGTTTCACGTATACTGGCGCAGGTCTAACATAGGTTGTTCCGGGTCTGACATCAACAGGTGGTGGTTGAACAAATACTGGTTGAGGTCGGACATCTACTGGAGCCTGATTTACAACAACCGGATTAGGTTTCACCACCACGGCGCTTGGTTTCACGTATGTTGCAGCTGGTTTTACATAAACTGGTGGTGGTCGTACATAAACTGGTGTAGGCTTGACGACTAGCTTTGGTGGTTTAACGTAGACTGGAGAGGGTCGAACAACCACTGGTGCTGGTTTGACGAATACTGGTGTTGGTTTCACGACAACTTTCTGAGGTTTAAGGACCAAACGAGGTGCTGCTAAAAGTCAAGTTAAAATTTCAAAGAGGAATAAGAGTTGAAAAAGAAAATTATTGTTTTTATATTGCACTACTTAGATAAATCTAATCTACCAGGAACTGGCTGTGAACGTTGTGAATACACCGGGCCATGTTTAGGTAGAATGTATACTGGAGCAGCTACTTTTGTCTCAACGTGGTATGCTGGTTCATGTTTCTCAACTATGATTAGTCTCTGTTCCGGATTATCAAAAGTGTCTGTAAATTCCACGTTATTTAAAAAAGCTGTAAATCGAAACAAGTAGCAATTTTCAAATGTTGTTTTAAAAATAGATAAGCATCATATATTGCCTTTTACCTCTCATATTTCTTTCAGAAAATGCATACATTCTTCCCCGTCCACCCCGTTTTTCTTCAAGTACTCCTTGTCGTACAAATGGTTTATGCTTTTCCAGAAAAGCTCCATCTCTCCAACCCTTCCTCATGAATCCATAAGAGGAGTAAACGTCGCCTAGTCTTCCGTAACCCCCCAAAATGTTTTTTATAGCTGTTTTTCACTTTTCTATTACTTTGTTTTTCTATATCTAATAAAACTACGTCTAAAAATTTGGTCTGTATACAGATATAAAATTGAAATTCAGTTCTTTTAGATAGATAACAAAATAAAATACATTTTTTTTACTTGGTTGTCTATCAAAATATATCTTGGAAAATACAGTTATCACTTACTGTACGGAAGCCTTTCTTGTTCATCAAATCGCTGTGCTAAAATTAAAACATTTTCTTGGTACCAAAACAAGAATTAAATTAGTAAAAAAACAGTGTGTAATTTTTTGCTCATGTAAAACTTTTTAAAGCTATGTTTGAAAGTACTGGTTTGACAATTTAAACAACTGAAACAATTAGTAGTGCCAAGACAGAAATAAAGCTAGTACCAGCAGCTAAGGCGAGAAACAGAAACAGTAACATCACTGTACGATTACAGGAGGTGTTTGAGCTTATGACGGTTTTTCAACGGTGGAATCTCTTATAAATACGGTTTCTCAAAACAGTGTCTAATGAAACAATGGGTCAGATTTTGAGCAACAGCATTAAGCATCATTATTTACGAGGGGTAGAAGTGACGACAACTGGATGAAGAAGAAACGAGACAACTACCTTCAATAGAATCATTAAATTTTTTTACGAAAAAAATTTTTTTTCGCTTTTGTTAGATTTTTTTATACATTTTTGTTTGAATTTTTTAATAAAAAAATTTTTTTATACAACTGTTTTTTAAACATAAAAAAATTGGCTGCTCTGCACAATTAATTGGCTGTATTTATTTATTTATTTATTTTTTTTTTTTGCTTTTTGAATACAGTCTGTGAGAGTAAAAAACAAGATGATGCTAAACCGCATAAAATTTTCTTCAAAACCGCAAAAATGCAGTGTTTGGTTTTCTTCAGTTCTTCAAAATTGTCATTATTAGCTCAGTTAGTTCCTGCTGTTGTTATGTCCAAAATGAAAGCGTAACTGGCAATAGGACAAACTGACATGATGACAAAATTGTCATCGTTTTTTACTAATTCCGCAATTTTTTTCATAGCGATGCTGCAGTTGAAGAAGAAAAAAAGAAAGGTAGAAAAAATTGTTGGGAGTAGGAAATATAAGACAAAGAGCAAAATTAGAAAAATTTTAGGCTGAATTGTTTTTTATTAGCTTTAAAACTTTATTGAGTGAAAAGCTCGATAAGACAACAACTTTTCAGATTACTTGTGCTTCTTCACTTAGTTTTTTATGCTTGATTTTTTATGATCTTTCAAATTATGTTACCTAGCAGAGTCTGGTGCTCTTCTTATCAATTTTGTGTGCGATTTAAGCCAGCAACAGTGAGCGTAAAATTCAGCTTCGGTTGATTATTTAAAGTCAGTTGACTCCTTCGTCAGGACGTTTTTACTTGACCGCTCAAGCGGTTTTTTAAGCCCATAATACATGTCCAGTAACGTGAATGTTGCAGTTTATTTGTTGCTCTTTGAGATTTCTTCAAATATTTTTCTTCGGCTGCGCTATAAACGACGTAAATAAACCAATAAGACTTCTTTTTCAACGTTGCTATAACTAGCTGCAGTAACGGAATTAAATGTGCGCTAAATTCAGTATGGAAAATGAACGCTACGGACGCGTAAAAAACCAATATTATTTATTAAGACAAAATTAAATCTTGATTTTGGCAGGCTGTTTTAAAATGTCTCCTGAATCATCAACACTCCAGTTAAAACGCATTGCGCCTGCTATACTGCTGTCAGAAACGGCTTAAACGTCAACATTTTTGAAGTACCTATACCATGACTTATTGACATTCTGTTATATAACTGTTATTAACAATATTCATTTAGGCAAGTAAATCTTTTTCTGCCAATAAAAAAATCAAAAAATTTTAATTTTTCCTTGAATTTAAAAACATTACGCAGTACTGCAACTGTAGTAACAATGCCGTAATTTTGATTTTAAAATTACACTTCAAAAAGGACTGGGAGTTTCTAATACCAACTTCTTGCCAATTTTGTCAGTAATACCAAGGTCAAGCACACTAAATGCAACTACCTCAAAAAATTGAAGAATACTGAAATTGGTGCTTGAAAATGTTTCGTATTTTTATTATCTTCACAATAGTAGTTTCAATAACAGTTTCGATTTGATAAACAATCATTCGCAGAATTGAGCTCTTAGCACTGCAACGTTCCTTTCTTTCCAGATAATGTATGAAAGTGGTTATAGACGTTTTAGAATAGTTTTTGAAGAAAAATGACCTTTATTTGCTAGTCAGTACCACACGAAAGATTTTATTGCATAAACAGACAGGCTTTTTTTCTTTAGTAACTTCAAAATTTGAAAACTTCTCGCCTCACAGACGGCGATCTTTTAGCAGCGAAATTATTTACTTCTCTAACGTCATTAGCTTCGTTAGCGTCATTTGCATCATTCGCCTTCCGGCTAAATTTCACAACTTGTAAAGCCAATCGCGATTGAAGCGGCAAAAATGTTGCTTTTTGGAGACCTATTTGACGCACGTAGTTTTGGGGAGGAACTTTGTCATAACGTCCTTGTGAGAGGTCTGGTATAGAATTTGAGGGGTTAGAGAGATATCTTCGTCTGTATACAACAGTATTTTCAGTCTCTAGTAGTGGTAAAGTTCTTGCAGGTCTGAATTCATAGGAAGAAAGTGTATTTTGAGCTTGCTGGTAAGGATTCGTTATTGTAAACCCGGGCCTGTATAGCAGTTGAGTATTCTGAGCCAACGGAAGGAAATTAGGCTTCGCCGGTCCACTTCTGTATAAAGACGGCATACCACGAGTTAGCTGGTAAACATTCATTCCTACTGAGCCAGGTCCATATACTGGCGGTAGGTTGCCAAATTTTTGTAACGGTGCGTAACCGACGTACGAAGTATGACTTGAAGGTGAGCCATAGAAGCTGTTTGGAAAATAATATCCTCCAGAAGTACGAAAAGCTTGTCTGTTCGACATACTCCTACGCGGATAACTGCTGACACTCCTTTGACTATACAGCATAGGCAAAGAAGACGAATAAAACTTCTTTGGTGCATAATTTCTCGGTATTCGATACCTAGGCAAGTGGGCATCTGCAACGACGTATATTTTTTCTAATTTTTTATAAGATCTGCTTTTTTGTACAAAAACTAAGCTTTAAAGTGATTTGAATTAACTGGAGCAACTGCTGTTGATGTCTCGAAGAATTATGTTCACCTTGATATTTTTTTACTGCACTGCTCTGTCCCGCTGACAAAGACATCCTTCTTCTAATTTCGGCAACATTGCTTGCTAAAAAATATGGTTTTGCTATAATGTCTAAAAATCCTAAAGTCTTCTAAGAGCTTGAAAAAGCGTTGATCGAAGGTAATTTTACAATAAAGCTCTCTTTATTTTTATGTTTTTTTTTATTTTAGTAAGTTCTAATACTAACGATTAACACTTATCTTTACGGTGATGAAACTAGCTTGATCAAAGGATTATTTTCCAAAAACCAGATTACATGCTCCCACAGTCATTAGGTCAACATGTTATTCGGTGGTAAATAAGGAAGTTAGTCACAAAAACTTTAACAAGAATGACTTAGGTAGAAAGGTATCTCAAGAAATGACACTAATTTGTCTCTGTTTTTTTTTATTTTGATTGCTTAGTTAAATCAAATAAGTATATTTAGGTAAAAAAGGTTTAGGACAAATTTGAACAAGGTTAAAAAAGTGTTTCTTTCCACTCCAAGTCACCGTTGCGAACAAATTAATGTGCGCAGGTCGTTTAAAACTAAGATTACCGAATCATTCAAGAATTACACCATTATTAAGCGTGCTCTTATTGTACGTGTACTCATGTTCGAATAAACTTATCAATTACTTTATCTAGTGCCAAAAAACAAAAAGAGAAATAAACATTGGAGAACCTACACTCTTGCGCTCGCTGGTAATATGGTGGTAGATGAGCTGAAAGTATAATTTCAAAATCGAAATGTTGAACAGAACAGTGATAGTTGATGACATTTTTAAAGACGTAATTTGGTATGACTCTTACAAAAAAAAATTTTTCAAAAAAAAACTGAAAGCATAATACTGAGAAAAAAACAGGTTTACCTGCAGTTAGTGCAACAAAAAGAAGTAACAGTACTGTGCTTTTCATTGTATCCTACAAAAAGCAGTGGGCTGGAATACTGTAGAATGAGATAAGTGCAGGTAAAGATGCCGGCCGTTAGAAAAGCTTCTTATTTTTAATCTCTTTTTTTTTTTTCGTATTTCAAGCAGCAAATTACTTGTTACCTTAAAATCAAATTGTTCATCAGACAGTACTAAATCAAATATGTTTTAGGGTTTCAAAAGATATAAAATTTTCTGTGCTAAAATAACGCATTTTTTTAAGGAAGTGATTGCATCAAATCATAATTTGAGCTCAGCATCGTGCGCGCTTTGTCCAACAGCTACCAAAGCTATCTAACGTTAGTAGATGAAAGAAATTTCATATGACGCGCACAGTGAAGAAATCTGTGACAATTACATAATCTGTCAATAATGCTTACATTTTTAATAGAATCAATTTAAAAAAGTATAATTAATTAAAAGTGAGCGTCCTGAAAATTGTCAAATATGTCTGGAGGAAATCTGCTTTTCTTTTTTTTCTAAAATATGTTAACAATGAAAAAAGATAGCATGAAAACCATGTATGATGAAAGTAAAAGAAGACATTGAGAGTACACAGCTGTTACCAGATGCTTAAGCGTCCGCTTCAAATTGAATCTAGCCAAGCGTACCGCCAAATGATCACCGAATGTTGAGCAGCAACAGCCATTCAGAGAACCATGATGATTTCATCTGGGCACACAATGACATTATAATTTTTTCTTGGTGAAAAGTTAAACAAATTGTTTGAAGACAAAAATAAAACACAATACATGATTCTACGTTGTTGCTGTTTCATACAAGGCGGAACCTTCTTGGTCAGATATACCGGAGAAAAAGAAAGAAACAACAAGAAAAAAGCCAAATCTTTTGAATGCTTTTCTGAAGAACAATTTATATACTTCATCGATTGCAGACTTCTTATACGTCCTGTACAAAAATTAACCAAATAAGCAAAATTTTAAGTTTCTTTTCTTTTATTCGGCTAACAGATCATAATCACCAAATTATTCTTTTACATTATTCAAAACATGCTTTTATTTTCTGGAATTCCTTTTGGTGGTTGGCGTTATAACTAAAATTTGCACTTCATCTTTTAGCAATAGATCAAACAAGTCTTGTACGAGATTATCACTTTGAACAACACACTGTATTAATAACAGGCATTGTAAGAACAATTTCAACAATTAAGCAAATAAATTTGAGCGCTTTTCCATTTAGCAAACCAGTTGATGTTGAAAAAAAAAAGGTTTTTTTTGAAACGACTGATTAAATGCTGTTGAAAAACCTATTATTGTTTTTTATGCTTTCTATAAGCAAAAACAGAAATAGTAAAAACATGTTCCTGTAAATTCTGCAAAAATTGAGCTCTATTAAATTTGTCTTCAAAATATCGGTAAATTTTCTTCTCAACTTTTCAATCGTTTAGGCACGAGAAACCAACACTTACATAAAGTGATGTTTGTTTATTCAAATGCTTAACTTTTCAAGTTACAAAAGCAGCAAGTATTTTACATTTATTATAAACAATTATATTTGATGCAGATAAATGATTTAAAAAAACCATTGCTTATTTGGAATGTGATAGGAAATGACAAGTAGTTAAACCTATCTGACATTTACGAATAGATTCAAAAATAACAGTTCGATGCACCGATCAACTCAGTAACCGCTTGTTAACCTTAACAGTTTTTAAAATTGGTGTAATATAAGCC